TAATTATATTTATCTTAGATTTATGTCTAAAAATAAACAAAGACACTAATTAATAAAACATTAAAATTTCGATGTCAATAGCAAGTTTGCACGCTTCATAATCCTATGTGTCAAATTTTCAAACTTTGTTGTTTGGCTTGAATGAAATTTAATAATATTCCAATTCAAAATTACTAGACTTAGAATATCCATAAATATATTGAATCGACTTCCTTCTACCTCGAACAACTTCTACGACCTGCAATAACTCAACGCCAGGAGGGAGGTTTCCAAGCAAAGAGTCTTCGATGCCTAAGTCAGTGCAAGGTTAAAAATGATGAACAGTAACTGAGTGTATAGAGTGTAGAGAGAGAATGTAAACTGAAAAATAACCTACCACACCCCTTTATATAGGAGTGTGGTGTCTTGCTCTCCAAGTCTTCTTGGAGATTTGACCCTACTGCCCAAGCTGCCCATCCGTACAGCCTACAGTGTCTCAAAATGTCAGGCTTGTCAGGTGTGCAGACGACTCAATCTCGTTGCGACACGTGGTCCAATCCTCGTATGGCGTAGTTCCCGAGTTAGATGTCTTATTGTCTTTCATTATTCTCTATTAGACGGTCTTTCCATGAGCCTAAGTTCACGTCATCAAGTATAACACTCACCTGGTAAAATATCTTCTTTCGGAGCTCGTCCACTATCCATGAGGTTGATCCATCGACCTGAGCTCCCCCAGGTCGAACTTCCACTGAGCTCGACTTGTAGCTAACGTATCGTCGGCCCGATCATTGTCCTCAGGCCAAGTCCTGACTACATCTCGACCTGTCTATTTAACTGGTCTAGTCGTCTGGTTTTTTGGGTCCGATTGACCCGGTATGGTATCTCATATCATTTAGTCCCATCACTCTGGTCGAGCTAGAATAGCTCGATCCGAGAGTAGATCTATTTGCCTTTGTTTTCGTACTGCCAACCTCGTTTTTATGCTCTTTGACCTGATTTTATGATCTCTTGATATCCAAAAATCTTCCAACCTCTCATCCCCCATCCTGAATTTTGTAATATAGACTCATTTGTCACTAGTCGACCAAAATCTTCGAGCTACATTTTCTCTGGAACAATCAATTTCTACCACTTTTTTTTTTTTTTTTTTCCCNAAAGTTTCAAAACTCAAATATCCTGTTAAGCCATGCATCTTTCAGAAGCTCGTCTACCGTGTTATCCATATACACTATGCCTAATCATTGGCGCATTTAATGCCTTTGTCTTTTTCTCTTTCCCATTTAATCTTTACCCTTGATTTCGACCTCCATCCAACGATCTCGAATGCTTGACCTTCTGGGTTCTTCGCCTTTTCTCTATAAATACCCCCTTCCTCTACTTTTTCTCGTTTTTTCACTTCGACGATTTGTGCTTGCTCTATATTCCCTTCTTGCAAAGAAACAGCATCCACCTCCACCGCCGTACTCTGTCGTTCGATCTCTCAGCCTCTGCAAGTGTCAGATAGCCATGACGTCGCTCAATAAGTCTTCGAATCTCCCTTCTCTTAAATTTTGTTGTTTCATGTTTTTGTGATTTTGTAACCTCCTCCTTAAAAAAACCACTCATCCCCTCAAATCCTAAATCCTCCATTTTATTCTTCTTTCTTCTTTGCATTTTTAAATTCATGCGCCACCTCGGACTCTGAAGCCACCTCAATCGTCTGCGAAATGACCCCAGAGAGCTCTCCAACGAGCTCACTGTCAAATTCTATCGCCAAATCACCTTCCCCCGCAATTTTGTGCCCTGTCCCCCTTTCGAGCAATCCTTCCATTCCTCTCCATACTCTTCCAGTCCCTCCAAACGCCGCCTACACAAGAGTCTAAGGTGATTCAGTAGATGAGGAGGAGAGAAAGGATGTGCCTGCTCGACCTGCCTCTACTCGACCTCCTCTCCCTCAACCCCTAATGACTCGACCTGAGGCCAATCCTCCTGCCGAAGATGAGCTGCTGTATGACATAAAGCCCACCCGCCAGCGCAGTGAATTATTCCACACCGATCGCGACGATCCTTGAGTGAGGCTACCCGTCGACCTCTTTAGACTCCTTAATGATTGGAAGGACCGCGCTTCTGACGCCTTCGACATCCATGAGCTTCCACCCTCGGCTACTATATCTTCTTCGAGAACCAGTCGGTCTTTGGTTTATCTTGAGCGAGGCTTTGTTCGAGCTCTGCACCCGATATGACCTACATTTGAACCAACTTCCCCCAAACTCCATGTGAACCCTTATTTCTTTTGCCGTTCCTTTTCATTCTAGGTTGGGTAAGGTCGACCCTGAATTTTTCCAATACTACTTCCTCACCAAATTCCAGCATAAAGGCCTCTACATCGCTTCTTTCTACAATGCCAACTTCATCGAATAAACCCACCAATGTTCCAAACTAAAAGAGGAGATTCTTTTATCTTTGACTTCCTAACCCCGCCTATGTAGCCTGGGGCCAATCAAAGGTTGTTTTGTCCTTGTTCTTCGACGATGAGTAGCTCTTCTATCACTGCAGTTTTTCGACCTAAGTGGATGACCTTCTTTCTGATGAGGAGCTCAGTAAGATCAAGCTAGAAATCATACATTCTACTTGTCTTTTTTTTTTCTTACATTTATGTTATTTATCTTCTCTTTACTTTTGCAGAGAAACGCCTCGAGTTGGCCAAGGCCCCTACCGTCAACGTTAAGGGAGGGACCTAGGAAACCTCCCAAATTTCCAAAACCCTCCAGGTTTTGAAGACTAGGAAGGTTGTCTACCCTCAGGTCGAAAAGAATAAGACCAACAGGTCGTCGACACCCAGATCGACGAGGGAAAAAACAAGAAGGCCGCCGACCTTAAAAGAAGTAGCCAAACACATCGACTAATTAGAAGAACACGTCAATGCCGACTTCTTAGCCAAAGCGCTTCGACAAGGACCTGATCGCAACCCTCTCGCCAACCTCCAGCATTAACATCCTCAGAGGCTGAAGGTATACTCACACATGCCTAAGTATGACGAGCTACATAGCTCTTCAGAGTCTCACTTTCTTGTTGCTGCATCGCCATCAGAATGAGATAGTTCTTCTCCTGCGACCTAGCACGGGTAAATTGGTTGGGAAAAATAGTTGAGAAATCCTCGAAGTCTCTAACCAACCCTGGGGAGAGCTAATGAAACCAGTCTTGAGCTCCTCTTCGCGAGGTTGCCAGAAAGGCTCTACGCCCCACCGCGTCAGTATAACCATACAAAACCGCCATTTTCCCAAAGATCCTCAAATGACGGGATAGATCAATGGACCCATCAAAGGTAATTATGAGTTCTATGAATCCACTGGGTAGATCTACATCAAGTGCCTCTTGAGTAAAAAGATGCACACGAGCTTTATTTCCTCATTTTGTTTTTATTTTAGCCTAAAGCTCTAGGATCTGAGATGTCATCCTCTCCACTGCGAGGTCACGCTGAGCTAATGGAAATATTGACCTCATCCCTCCTTGTCGGTACAATAAAGTTCACTGCACTCAACACCTGTGGTTGTGGTTGAGCGAACCTGGCTGTGACAACTTATGCGATCATCCTGTTGGGTTCATCCTTGGTGAGTGTCACAACCTGCTCCTTGGTTGAAATGCCTTCTCCTTCCGCTGGTGACCTCCTCTCACCAATTTGGGGTGGATTTTGTTGTGCTAGAGCTACTGGTATTATTTCTGCACCCGATCAACCTTTTGGGCGGGTAATTGAACAATTGGTTGTTGCTACTAACTCCAAAAGAACCCCTAACACCTGGTAGGTTAGGAATCGAGGTAATCGACTTTAAAATAGACCTCGCATAGCCCGATGATGGGTCTGCTTTGGTCGAACGACTGAAAACCCAAGGCTAATCAAAGGTGGGCTCCAGGTTCTCTATGGGATCTTCACTCGCCATGGTAAGTAGTGTTTGATGGATTTTTGAACGAAAAGTCTCAGAGACGGACCAAATGGTAGTGTAAACGACCTCGACCCGGTTGAATGTCCTTTGATTCGCCCTTGAATCGGTAAATGACCTGCAAGGCGGCAAAACAGCGTCGGGGATTGTCCCGACGTAGAAGATTCGACGCTGAAGTCGATGTTTGAGAAGATGATCTATATAATGTATGTAAGTATGGAGTACTCAAAGTGTAGAGTGATGATGATCATATCTCAACCTTTGTGACCCATGATCTGCCCAAACTACCCGGTCACACTACTCGGGTTCTTAAACTGCCAAATTATGTTAGTCACGTGGTCCTAACCACGTGCTCTTCTTATCATTATTGTATTTGCATTTGTCCATTATATTAGTGCGTGCATATTAGCCTACCTCATTAGATAGTTGCTTTAATCCTAATTTTGCTATCAGCTCTACCTATTTGCCTCAGAGGTCATAATCGACCTACTACTCTCATAACCTCAAGTCTTCTTGTCGTTTGACCTGATCGACTTGACGGTCCATCCGAACCACTAATGGTGCTCTCAAGTTCCACACGACCTAATGATAGGTATGGTATACCATATCATTGTGATATAAGTTTGACCTTTTAAAAAAGTCGTTCTATCGAACCAAACTTATTCTATCAAAGAAAACTTATTTGCATACATGAAACTTATAAACAAAATGAATAAGTTATAAATTAGCTTATAATGTTTACCAAACACTGATTGGAGATGAAAAAATGGCCAGTCCTCCACTAGTGCTCTAAAATTAAACGAGTCTGACTCGGTTTGGCTCGCGCTCGACTCGAGTTCGCCTTGACTCGTTTGATAAACAAGCCGATATCGAGCTCATTTAAAGCTCGGCCCGATAAGGTTTGTTGAGACTTGAAAAAAGAATTTTTATACAATTTTTTATAGTTCGACTCGTTAAAACTCGAGATCGGCTCGTTATTAGTGATAAACGAGCTGAGCTCGAGCTCAATTTCAAACTCGCTTATTTAACGAACTCGACTCGTTTACAGGCTTATCCTCCACATATAGAGAAAACAAGTAAATAAAAAAAAAATACAAAAATAAAATTAATTCAGCAGAAATCAAATCAAGCACAATTACACAAACTGCAGCACCCCCACAACTCAGCCCATCATCAAGAACACGGAACATTTCTTTAATTGCTTTATTTATTTGTTTTTTTCCCCTTTTCAGCTTAACCCCATCGCGCACCTTTGCTTTTCTCTCTCTATTTGCCTGTTTCAGATTCAATAACGAAAAATTCAATTTTTTTCTTTTATTTTCTGCTATATTTTTGTAATCAAAATTGAAGCAGGCCGCATGCTTTAATTTTCCATTAATGGCCCATAGTTTTCGGCTTTTTTTTACACCCATGTATTGCATCTACCTGCTGAATTTGAACTTTAGGTTTATGGGTATTGATTTTCTTGATGTTTTCCTGCACGCGGTTTTATGATTGATATTTTAACTGGTTCTTCCAGATCGCGGTCAGATCTTAAGACATCCTGATCTGGTTGAATAGTTGGGGATTCTCGTAAAAGTAAGGCATTCGATGCAGAGTTGAGGTGAGTTCACAAATTTGCATTTGTTCCTTTGTTTTTACATTTTTTTCTTTTTGTAGCGTATAATGTAAATTCGTGGGATATCTGGTTGAATCATTTCACCTATTTAGGCAACCTTAGGAATAATCAGTATGACATTGGTATCCTAAATAGGGTTGTAAAAGAATTGAACTTCTTCGATTTGATTCATGATTTGTATTTGTGAAATTTGAATTCAAATTTAAATAAGAATAGGACTTAGTATTCGAAATTTATTTGAATCGAATTCGAGTCCAAATAACTGGTTTGATTGTTTTGAAAGGGGGCACTCGAGCTTTCACTGACCCAAAACCCGGTAAGGGTTGTTGCATGTTTTCCTCACTGCCCCTTTCTTAATGAGATTGTTGGATAGTTCTTTTATGGAAAAAAATCTGGCAAGTCTTCTTGTGGTTTCAGCTTTTCCCCGAAAAACAATCTAGTTCATTTTCACCATTTCCTTTCTATCATCCTCTGGCAGGTGATAATGAATTAAGCTGACAATACCAAGTACTGCAATTATTCGCCTTCATGTTTGGTGGTAGAGAATACAGCAACCAAAACTCATTCAGCCACCAATTTTCTTAACCATTTAGTGCGCGCCTCTGCTTTCGAAAAATACCAAAAACTCAAACATCATCAGCAACATTTAGATTCACTTGAAAGAAAGACTTTCACCTCGTAAACTCCCCAGTGATGATAAAGAACATCCTCAACAAGCTCCCTCGTAAGCAAACCAAGCTATCAGACAACCGTGAAAATGGCGGGCCCTCTAGTTACCTTCCGCATGCAAGGGAAAACGGGAACGCGGGCCCAAAACCCGGCCCGTACGACTCTCTCCCCACCTTCCGCGACGTCCCGAATTCCGAGAAGCAGACCCTATTCCTCAAAAAGCTAAACGTATGTTGCGTCGTGTTTGACTTCGCGGACCCCACAGCAAACCTCAAGGAAAAGGACATCAAACGGCAGACTCTAGTCGAGCTCGTGGACTACGTGGCCTCGGCCAACGCGAAATTCACGGAGACCGCAATTCAAGAGATCGTGTGCATGGTGTCCGCAAACCTTTTCCGCACGTCCCATGCCTTGGCGCGCGAGAGCAGAGCCCTCGAGGCCTTCGATTTAGAGGAAGAGGAGCCGCTGATGGACCCCGCGTGGGCCCACCTGCAGGTCGTTTACGAGCTTCTCCTCCGGTTCGTGGCCTCCCCAGAAACGGACGCCAAGCTGGCAAAACGTTACGTGGACCACTCGTTTGTCCTCCGGCTGCTCGATCTCTTCGACTCGGAGGACCCCAGGGAGAGGGACTACCTCAAGACCGTGCTTCACCGAATATACGGTAAGTTCATGGTCCATCGACCTTACATCAGGAAAGCCATCAACAATATTTTCTACCGATTTATATTCGAGACGGAAAAGCACAATGGGATAGCCGAGCTGTTGGAGATTCTAGGGAGTATAATTAATGGATTTGCATTGCCCCTGAAGGAGGAACACAAGCTTTTTCTCGTGCGGGCGCTTATTCCGCTTCACAAGCCGAAAAGCATACCGGCGTACCACCAGCAGCTCTCGTACTGCGTGACGCAGTTTGTGGAGAAGGACTGCAAGCTGGCGGATACAGTTGTAAGGGGGCTGCTTAAGTATTGGCCGGTGACTAATAGTTCGAAGGAGGTGATGTTTTTGGGGGAGCTGGAGGAGGTGTTGGAGGCGACCCAGCTGCCTGAGTTCCAGCGATGTATGGTGCCTTTGTTCAGGAGGATCAGTCGATGCCTTTGCAGCTCGCATTTTCAGGTTGGGATGAAGGATTATCTCTTC